GAATGGGGCGAAGATAATACGATGCTCTTTGGGGGTATGACTTGTCAGGGGTGGTGATCATTATCATTCAGGCAAATGGTACGAAAGGTTATAATTTGTACGGAAATTTGTGATTTAGGACAAAACATGTAATGTTCGAAAGTATCAAATTTTCAAGCGGTAGAGAGGTTTTGTCAGGTTTTGTTCAAATTGATGGTTCTCCTTTAATGTTTATGATGGGTGCCTGATTGAGAAAGAGTCACACCGGCTGGAAGTCGAACCGCACATAGTAAATGGTAAGATACGTTCAAGACGTGAGCACAAAGAAAGATACGAAACATCAATCGAGAGAATGAGAGAAGAATCGTACACAATAGTGCTGCAATGATGCGGAAGTAGTGAGGCAATGGACCGTGGGCTCTGGTGCGGGGAGTTACGCACAGGATAAGGCCCCCTTTATACTTGAGGTGCTCGGCTATTTCAGGCGGTAGCACACTGGGTAACTTCATAGTCCGATTCACACACCATCGTTTTCAGATCGCCCTATTCGGAATTTGGTATATCTTGCCTTCAGCCCATCAAATCAAAGGAGTCTTCCGATGAATCAAGAATCACCTGAACATACCCTGCGCCACCTCGTAAACCTTAGAAACTCGGAGAGGTACCGAGGAAAACGAGTACTTTATCCTCGGAGCGGCTCCCTACATTGGCAGCAGATGTGTTTCAGATGCCTCAGATGCCTCTGAGGTCACCTCAGAAACATCACAACTCCCTTGTCATTCACAATCAACTCACTCAAAGGATCAAATGAGCCATCATACACATCCATCAGAGCCCCTCTGCTTCTCTTAAACTTTGTGTGACATATGTACATAGACATATACATACAAAAACAATAAAACACAAAGTCCACGCCTCCACACAGCTCAATCACGCAGTCACACAATCATCGCACTCAGGCCACACAATTGTGCCACACATGTTACTCAATAACCTGCACCCAAGTCCATACACGCGTGAAATGAGTATTCTCATACTCATTTCACGCATTGTACTCGTGCCAACTCACATCAATCACACAATCTCTCCACGCATACACACACCCAAGCTCACGTTATCCTATGTTTCCCATTTCATTCCTTAATCTTTGCAAGAAACAAAAGTTTATCATTGATCATGTACACCAGTTACGCATGACCAATGCCCTCACTTCATCTATTTTACATTGTCTGAATGAGTATTATGCAACTTTGAGATCTTTCTTCTAATGTGAATATTTCAGCATTGTTGATATCGTTGATACTATTCATGATTAATGGTCACTATACTTAAATCGACACTTGATTTGATGTGTATTATATTATTCCTCACATCACGCATGTCACTCACTCATGAGGATCACATGCATCACACATTATCCCCACGCATCACACAACCATTCTATCCCTATGTTACACACGCAAGACATGTGTGTGGTGCGTTGGATACCTGCGTGAGGCACTGTGTGTGTGTAACACCCGCAACTTACCAATGATATATACATGTGTGTCACAGATGCGTGACATACAACATTGCGCAGTCTCATCAACCACGCAGACGTACCGGTACATCACGCAGAACGTACCGGTACACCACGCAGACGTACCGGTACATCACGCAGACGAATTGGTACACCGCCAACCACCTCAACTTCCTCACGCAGTCAAGTGACTTCTTGACTAGCGACTCACATTCCCTTTTACCTCATCGAGCTCACCCAACGAGTCCAATCCATTCAATCATCAACCTCATCAACCAATCAACTATCATCAATTCGACTCCACATCTTGAATAATAACGGAATAGGATTAAAGCAAACCAACAGCTTACTCACTCAACTCTTCTTACTCACTCACTTAGCTTACTCACTCAATCACTCTACTGAAGACCATTATTGAATATCTCAATCAAAAATTCATTCAATTCGATTCGATTCGATTGAAACTCACTCATCGCTCAAGGCTTACCCATTTAATTTAAAACACTTTTCTAAACGGACTAGGATTAAACCACATCGACTTCATTCAAATCATTTTTCTAAGCGGAATAGGATTAAACCACATCAAATTCATTTAATTCATTTTTCTAAACGGAATAGGATTAAACCACATCGACTTCAATCAATTCATTTCTCTAAACGGAAGGATACACCACACCGACATCTTACTCACTCATCTTACTCACTCACTCACCTTACTCAATCAGCTTACTCACTCCGCTTACTCACTCACTCAGCTTACTCACTCAGCTTACTCACGTTATTGAATATCTAAATCAAATATTCATTGCTTTCACATATAACTCACTCCCCTCAGAAATCAAGCGTCATTATACCAGTTTTATTACACTTTCTTGATTTGGTCAATAAAAGATGTCCTCGAATGAGAATGAAACTCCGATTATTCCACCTGACGCTGGAAAAGGATATAAAACCCGATACCACGCCACACTATATGTTCAAGAACACGCAAACCTCCATTCCATTTCATCTTAGGAAGCCTTCTCTTATGTTTTTGTTAACTAGCCTGCCTAGTACGCGTTACTGGAATTATGTATCAGATTAGGCGGACTAGGCTTTTATCTAAGGTGGGCAAAAAACTTCTCGCGGAGCTCTCTTTCTTAAACTGGGAGAGTCTCCTGCGATCAGTTAGTCTTGGGAAAGAAACTCTTTCGTTTTGACTCAACGTCATGCTGAAGAGAGTTTCTCAGGGCTCTTACTTGGCTCATGCTGTTGGACAGCACTGCGTGAGGCCTGAAAAATTTTCCCTGTGGCTATAGTGTATTTCCTTTCAACAGGAAATGCGACATAAGATCTGGGTGGGAGGGTGGATTTTGAAAAGGTTTCTTTATGTAAGTATGAAAAACTTAGAGAAGGCTATTAGAGATTCGAAACGATTGCTAGACGGTGATTTAAGGATAATGAATTAGATAAAGGATAAAAAGATAATAAGATAAATCAGACTATAGAAAGCGGTCAGGGGACAAAAGGTCATCCCATGTGTACCAGCTTTATATCTCAGTCTGTAATCGGGGTCTATAGGGATGACGTGACTCTGGGGATTTCCGTTCGTATCTCCATAGGATCCTTGTAGAGTGTAATCCCTCGACCCAAAGAGGGAGATCTTTTTCTCTTTCTCTAAAATTCATTTCCTTTAAAGTCATCCTATCACATGGACTAGTATCCCATTTCGTGCCTCTTGTAATAAGCAAGGATTTCGAGTGTCAATCTTGGACTCTAGGACGTCCTTCGTCAAGTTCAAATGCTTCCACGGCGAAAATCGGCACGACAAGAATAAAATCGACTCAGCCACAACAAAAGAAAAGACTTGTATTTTTTGTTGCACCGCGCGGCGTGAGCCTAAGAATCATAATTGTTGGAACCTCACCGTGCCACATCCCGAACACAATCATCCACCAGATTTTAATGCACCTAAACACAACCTAGATACTATACGGAAAAAGATCAAAGATCACGAAGAGGCACTTCATAAACAAAATGAAAATATTCTGACACCCATTTCATCAAATATCAATCTCACGAATACTTCCGATCAACCCCAGCACCTCACCTTTCAATACCAAGCTCTACAGGATCAAATGCTACGCCTGCCAACTGAAACTCAGGCATTTCTTCTGACGAGATTTCTCTCTGAATGCCAACTTGCCCAAGGACAACGTCGAAATCGCTGCGCTACGCACAGCAATATGAAGGGTCGTAGATAGTGGTATGATCTACCACTATCTTGAACATCCGCTACGCACCACTATCACGAACAACCCGCTATGTCTTTTATGTAGGGGTGCGCATCAGCCACTATGGGGCACTACGATATAGACTCACTAGCGCTATCATAGCGCACACGCAAAAATTTTTAATATGAACATCAAATATTATTAAAAGGCATTTAAAAAGGATCCCGGTATCCCCACCACCCCCTCCCTTTCACAGCTAGTGAAGCCTTACTTACCAGTGACACAAGCTGTGACAGTATTGTCTAGCCGCACTGAAAGGTCTCTGGATTTTGTTTTGAAAGGTCTCTGGATTTTGTT